TCTAGTAACATGTCGTGACTTAAACATAAGAACATATTATGGCTAAGGCTACAGTTATACACGTCATAATAATAATATTAAACATCCTGTCTGCTGACAGTCATCAACTCTTCTCTCTAGTTATCCTTGACCAGATGTACCCTGTAGAAACTCATAAGCATGACTAAGCATTTAACAGTCTAACTAGACATCCTATCTCCACTAAACATTTCTAATACATAAAGTATCTATCCAATTTCTATCTGACTAAAAATACCTAACATGAGAATCAGCTGAGTCTCTGTGGATCTGCTGGTTGGACACAACATGTGGAGACGCCACCTTTGGCTCTGGAGAGTCACAGTGGGACTTGTCTGACATTCTGGGGATAAAATGGTCAATCAGATCATCAGGACGGTGATCAGCTGATTGATCAGTGACCCTGCTGGTTGGGTCAGTCGGCCAGGAGGTTCCTTTCAGTGTCCTTTCTGTACTTTATTGGTGTAATAAGCTGACAAATAAGTTAAATATATTAAACTGTGTCTAAATGGTCGCAGAGTAACCAAGTAAAGTTCAGAAAGTGTTGAACTGTTCCTACCTACTGATTAATAGGACTCACAGACAAGAGGAGGAGCCGTAGACAAGGTGCATCACCTGTGCTTACCTGCTCAGGTGACAATAGGTGAAGCTCAGGGCTATCTGGCTCTGACTCTCTGATGTCATGTCTTTGCAGCGCGTGTCCAGGTGCTCTACAGCTCGTAACCAACACTCTCCGTACTTGGGCTGAGTAACGAAGCTCCGCACGCGCCGCAGCTCCGTCCTGCCGCGCTCAAAGTCCGGACCGGTACTGGTGGAAATTCGGAGTATCATCAGCAGCACCACGGCCGTACTGGCCGCCATGTTCACCTGCCTGTGGTCAGGGGTCACCGAGAGGTCACGTGTTTTTATTACCTAAACACTCCACGTGACTCATTTCAAATCCACGCTCACATGGTTTAATATTCCTTCTGCTGTAAAATCTGCCTCCGTTTATTCTACTGAAACGTGTCAGAAACAATAGTTTGTGCTGTTTTTCAGCTAAAGAAGGAGCTGATGTTAAAGTTACCCTGTAGCTCCACAAAGGCCTAGAGAAAGAAGTATAACATGGAAAAAACACAACAAAGGACAGAGCTGCTGGCGCCGGAAGTAAATCACGATGGTACACCACCAGTGGTGCGGTGGGTAGAGCAGTTGGTCCCAACCGGAAAGCTGGAGGTTCGAATCTCGGTGCCTGCAGTCCACATGCCCAAGTATCCTTGGGCAAGACACTTAAACCGTAAGTTGGCCGTGATGGCGGCGCGTGGCCCTCGACTCCGACGTGTCACATTCACAATAAAATAAAGCTTGTTCTTCAAAGTCATCAAACCAAGCGCACTAACGTGAACGACTCAGGGGTAAAAACTATTGTTTTATAGCCACATTATCACTGAATTCTGAAATACATTAAATGTTGTTTGACATTTTTGCTTTAAAGAGGTTCCACAAAGAAAATCAAGTCTGAGAAAAGATGAATCAAAGTATGTAGTCAACAAATCACCTTCGTCCTTTATATTCATGTTCACATACTTCATTGACGTAGCACTGAGCTCAGCGCCTGCCTGCAGGTGGCAGCAGTGCACCATGGGAGTTGAAGTCTTGGTCCTGTCTATCGTCAGTTACTGTTAATCTGAAAAGTTGTCATTTTAATCTTCTTGACAGATTAATCAGCGACCTCAGCTCTTATTTTAAAAATGCTCCATCCTACAGGTGTCAAAATAAAATGTTCACAGAGGCCAAACTCTATTTCTTTCATAAAACAGGATAAGTTATTGAGCAGTTTCATTTATATTTAATTTATATAAACTTTTACAAAGATGGGCTGCTTTAGTTTTTATAAATCCTCCTAATAATAACTTGTAATTCCTTGCCCTGGCGCCTGGGGGCAGTTTCCCGTTTGGACCCCGTCAGTTTTTTGCTCAGGTTTTTTGAGAAAAGCTCAAACTAAATCTGTCAGATTGTTCGCAGCAGCTGAAACTGAAGATGTTTGAGGCTTTGTCCCAGTCACACTGATCAGCGTCAGGACAGAGTGGGCAACTGCCTCGGGGCCTTGGAGACATTAGACTGCCTCTGTGTAATGTGGGTTATCTGAACTTAATTAACCTCTAAGTCTTAACTCTGACAGCTCGTCCATCCTCGGTCCTATAGATGGACTCTATCACGGTTTGTAGTATAGTTGTTATATCAAATCACTCTATTTCTCGTGTGTCAGTAGTGAACAGACAGAAAACCTCATTGACAGGGCAGTGTAAGGCTGCCACTGACAATTACTGATACATCTGACATTTATTTTCTTTACCGATCACTGATGATTATTGCCTTAAGTCCAGGTGAACCTACTCTCATGCCCTGCTTTGCCTGATCAACAGTCACACACTGAGGTTTACTAGCACAGAAAACTGGAAACTGACACATTCACAGGTGAGAAGCTGCTACCAGTGATATTTTTGACTTATCAACTAATAACATCGTTCTACATCACCAGCTGGTTCCTGGGCATACATCTGGGGGCCAACAAGGGCCCCTCAGCAGGTGTATTGTGTTTGTGTGAGAGAGCTGAGCTACAACCTGGGAATCAGTCAGACGAGCACAGATCAGGGAACAACAAAGCTTTTAGTTAGAAAGAAAAATAAGAAAACAGGTAAAAACTAGTTTTGTCTACAGCGACAGTGTATTGGAGTTTCCACTGAATTCCAACCAGAGAAAAAGCAGAATATTCATCCTCAATATTAGCAACTATGAAGTCACCACACACATCACTACTAAGTCTAGAAACACAACATGGCTTGGCGGACATGGTGGCTTCTGGCAAGACGCACAATATTATAGGCACTAAACTCTGGAACATGCAATATGGTGGCTGGTTACTGTAGTTTGTGCCGGGTCGAGTCTTGTGGAGTGAGTCAGTTCACAAAGGGATGTTTGATTTCTGCAGCATGACAGACAGCATGCTAACAGACTGGATGGCTGGTGGAGTGCCACGTACGCAGAGGGGACACCCTTCAGCCTCAGATGGAGACAAACAGCATCACCTGTGCGAGCTCGCCGTGACCCGAGCATCAGATGAACAGATGGGACTTTAAATAATGAGGCACATTTACTTTATCCGGGATGAAGATATTCCCTTTTTCTGGTTGAGGGGGTGAAAAGCTCAATTTCCTACATTGGTGCTAAAGTGCTGGAGCCTTCCCCAAAAAATCATGTGAAGGTGCAAAACGTTTATGGATGTCAATACTACTGAGAGAGCATCAACTTTCAAACAGAAGCTGTTAGTTCAGATGTGAGACAGGTTCACACAAGCAGGACGAGGCTGGAGCTGTTTCACTCATTAACTAGCTCAGCAACAGCTGTGCCAGAAAATGTCAGAGCAGCAGAAGACTGTGGATGCAGAAGAGAACTGCCACTCCCAGGGTGTATTTTCACCTACAAACAGCCCATTTGACCGCGAGCTGAAGCTAAAGAAGAACCTGCACAGAGACAGTTCAGTTTTGCACAAGTTCAGTAACCACGGTGATATGCTTACTGCCTGTTTGGATCAGTTTGAACTGTTTATATGAGATAACACTATTTTGTGTCATTACACTGAATTCTTTTGCAGTTTCACAGTGTGTCTGCAGTGTCTCTCCTCTGAGCTCAGTCCTGATGTTTGTGGCTGTGCTGTGTGGTTGTCACCACCAGGTGGAGCCAGAGACACCTGAGCGGCATTAGGCTTACAGCAGATGAAGACAAATCAAAGTCCCTTCTCTGGGGTGACAGTAGTGCGTTGTCAGCTCCCTTTGGCCTTAACTCAGGTTTTCTGGTATCATGAAATTGGTTCGCTTTAACCAAGTATATCACCATGGCAACAGATGTTGCTTGGCTCATCTGCACAGGTGAGTCATCATTCCTTCGGGAGCCTGACAGGGTCAAAGGTCAAAGTTTTACAATAAAGTGACAAATAGCAACAGTTTTTTTTTTTTTACAGACCGGTGGACTCAGATGTGGGACAAGTGGGCATTTTCTCCCTAAATGACCACATCATGATGATTAAAGCTGCATTTTGATAAAGTCTGTTTGTTTGCTGACAGTGTTGATGCTTCTACTCTTATTCCATCAGGGCAGCTCAGAGTAGCATGAAGCAACTGAAATAAAAACCCTTTGTTGCCTTTTATCAGGAAAACAATCCACACACCAGTGAGTATTATCCATGATTTTAACGGATACTTCTGTCACATCTGCCCCTGTGGCAGAAACTGTCATGTTTAAAATAGTTTGCAGAACCGTTTTCCTGTGTGTGACGTGTCCAGCGTGCACTGTGGAACAGAGAGAGACAAACCCTGCTGGAGGTTGGAAACAAGCAAAACGAGCTGCTACAACTGTTTTAAGCTAAACTTTCACAAGAACGTGAACTTGTGGGCAAACAGCTTGTGTGCACGCCTCCTCTTTACTGTGCATGTGATGTTTGTGATGGCTCTGCTCCGTGGCGTGGGGGAGGTCGAGCTACACTGACCTCTGTGGATGCAGCCGGTCACTGCTGACCACTGCCTGAAATGAAAGAAAAGACTATGTGTATTTGTGAATTCCCAAACTCTGCAATAGGGGACTGAGCTCAGATCAGAGCACAAAGCAGTTTGTTACACAAACACCGAATCTATGAAATGCAGCCATCTAGTGCTAGCAGCGTTAGCATGTGACTAACGCGGTCTTGTTTAGCACAGCACCAGCAGGTGTGTGGAGGTTTAGCAACTGATGCACAACAGCCTGGTTTTCTGCTCCTTTAAAAAAAGAAATGAGTGAAAGGAGGAACATGTCCTGGTTCTGTCAGTACCTCTGAACCCGTGATTACAAACTTTTAAACTGGTCTGATGAACCATGTTGCTATTCTTTACACTAACCAGCACCAGCTGTGTATCTTCCTGTTCCGTTTCTGAAAGTGAGAGCACTTAGAAACATCAGTCCTGCGGCCTCGGGTGACAGTAGAACTCGCCGCCTCTCCATCGCACTCTCACATCTGAACTCACAAAGCCAGTTTTCTGCTCACTGAGTAGTTTTGTGCTGTGGTCTCTGGCACATCTGCCTCCATATGAAGCTGAACCAGACCTCATTCGGGGTTTCACTCTAACATCTTCCTTCAAACCAGCAGCAACAACCCCAGGTTGACCCCTGCGTACATGCGTCTCCGGTTGAAGGCCTGCAGGGTCTCTGAGCGACATGCAGGCGGATGATTGTACAAACTGGAGGAGTGCAAACTGTTCCAGACATTCAACACGTAGACACAAAAGTAGTTCGTTTCCCACTCGTTCATTAAGACTAAAAGCTCAAATAAAGCTACTGTCAAAGTGGGTTTGGTTCGATATTAATGGTGCTTCCTTTGGAAACAAAACACTACCACAGAACAGATTCAATGAAGACCAGTATGGAAGAATCTCAAACCTGGAAGAACAACTGGCTGTGTTGAAAATGCTTGAAAAACAAAGGAGGAGCCTTTTCCTCCTCAAACAACCTAATTATCTGTTTTTGAGGCTGTTTCAGTGTCTGATAGGAGGCATCAAGAACTCAAGCTGTTCAAATATTTAAAAAAAATATTGAAAATGGGTTTTTGTTCAGACTGTTCAGGATGAGGTCTGTGTAGAGTCATGATATAAATACTCATAGCAGATTCGCTACCTGTAGGGGGCAGACTGGAAGTGGAGGGGAAACATTATTGACCCCTCTTCTGGTTTTCTTTGGGTTTGATGGACAATGAAGAGTAAAATAATGGTGAGATTTCTAAGAAACCAGTTTAAGGTGCAAACCACTGCCCCACATCACCTCTGAGGCTTTCAGTCAGGGACTAGTTTCAGTAAGGAGCTGTCAGTCAACAGGAGGGCTTTTAGTGAGAGACCATTGGTTAAGAGCAGGACTTTAAATAAGGGACTGTCAGTCAGCAACAATGCGAGGAGTTAAGGACCGTCAGTCAATTATATCAGAGTTTAAAGCTGTATAACAGAGACAAAACAATAAACAATCAAAATACCAAATAAAAAAACAGGTTATATTCCGGAAGCAACGTTTTGTTCAGAGTAATGTGTTAAGCGTTGTTTTTTTTTTACTTTCAACTACTCCCCTCCCTCCCCACGGAGACTACCGAGACACAACAGCTGCCTTTTGATTATATATATACATACACACTTTTTTTTAAATCATTTTTTCCTTGTTGCTTGTTTTCCTAGAAAAAGACACTATCCGCTCTCCTCTCCAACTGTCCAGGTCAGGTTCTTGGATCCAGAACTTTACAGTGTCCAGACAGAATCAGACACAGTCCTACTAACTCTGTGTGACGCTATCCTTCTATCTGAAAACAGTGTAAAAACAGCCCAGTCACACTCCTCTTCCCCTGGTGCTGACTCAGTCCGCCAGTCTACGATCAGTCAGCCTGGTCTACCGGCCCCACTGATCAGCTGACTCTTTCACTGACGGCAGTCCGTGACTCTACGGTTTCCTCTCGGCTGGGGCATGGGACAGGGGACTGGGGAACGATGTCTCTGAGCTCCCTGCCCTCACCTGCTGCCTCTGGCTCCGCCCTGAGCCTGGCCCTACCATCTGCCCCAGGCACGAGCCCAACCCCAGTCCCAGCTACTCCAGGAGGTCCAGAGGGCACGGAGCTGGGAGGCCTCGAGGTGCTATTTGACCCTCTTTCTCCTCCTAAAACTTCTCTGCTTTCTGATGCCGCGGCCAGCTCCCCTCTCCCCTCCACCCTGACACCTTCTGCACCGACCTCTCGGCTCGGCAGCAAGCCCCCTCGGCCAGGCCGTGTAGTGCTCAGATCTTGGGGCTGTTCACTCTGGTTTTGCTGTGCAGGGACCAGGTTGGTCCTGGTAGGACTGGGAGATGGTCGTTGGGATGAGAAGTGCTGCACATGAGGTCTGGTGACCTGAGGATGGGACTGGGGTTGTAGCTGTGTTTGAATCCGCTGAAAGTGTGGTTGTGCTTGGGACTGGGGCTGGGATAGAGGCTGTCTGGGTTGTGGTCTGTGTTGAGTCTGGAGTTGGAGTTGTGAAGGATGCCTCGTCTGCAGGTGGGGCTGCACTTGATGCCTGGGTTGCAGGTGAGGCTGAGGTTGAGCTGGGGTCCTGGACTGAGGCTGAGTTTGGGTTTGGGTTCTGGAGTGAGGTTGAGGCTGCATTTGGGCTAGGGTTCTGGGCTGCAGTTGAGGCTGAGGCTGGGCTGTGGTTCTGGACTGGGACTGAGTCTGAAGTTGGGTTGGGGTTCTGGCCTGAAATTGAGGCTGCAGTGACTGTCGGGGCTGCATTTGAGATTGTTGTTTGAGCTGGGTTTGGGGCTGAGATAAGTGCCTGGACTGGGTTTGGGGTTGGAGTGCGGTGGGGGACTGCGTCTGCAGATCTGGATGCCTCGTTTGGAGTGGATGAATGTGCAGGAGGGATGGGGACTGCGGAGGGTGTGACTGAGGTGGAGCATGCTGAACCTGAAGCTGGGATCTATGCTGGGCTGGGGAGTGGACAAGCAATGACTGGGTCTTTTGAGAGGAGGCCTGGAGCTGACTGTGGGTTTGGGCAGGGGATTGCTGAGGCCGTGACTGGGGTAGAATATGCCTGGTAGGAGAGGACTGGGGTGATGTGTATTGAGGCTGGGCTTGACTCGGAGCCTGGGTCTGGTGATGTGGTTGGGGACGAGGTTGGGTTTGGTGGCGTGGTTGTGGGAGAGGATGCCGAGATTCAGGTAGGGTCTGAGGTGCAGGTTTTGACTGTGGTCTGGGAGGAGCTTCCTGGGTGTGCTGCGATTGTTGGGTGGTGAGTTGATGCACTGTCTGGGGTTCAGCTTCAGGCCTGGACAGGCTGGAAGGTGCCAGGTGTCCAGAGGCTGGAGGAGGAGGCTGATCCAGTGTGGAGGCAGAGGATTGTTGGTGACGATGATGATGGTGGTGGTGGTGGTGGTGATGGTGGTGTTTGTGAGGTGCTCGGTCCTTCCTTTTGTGGCTTTTTGATGAGCTAATGCTACTGCTGCTGCTGCTACTCCTTCCTCTTCCTCCTCCTCCTCCTCCTCCTCCTCCAGCCCCTCCCTTATCACCCACACCTTCACCTGTGTCCTCTCCTCGGTTTCCTGCGTCTCCTGTGGCAGTTCCGGTTTTCTCCTTGTGCTTCCTCCCTTTATGTGACTTGTGTCCATGTGATGGGCTTTCATCTGAAGCAGTGGGCTGCTTTTGTGACTGGCTCTGTTCAGAGGGGACTGGCTGAGGTTCAGAGGTTGGGGCTCCCTCCCCTGTACTTCCCTCCCCCACTGCAGCAGCCCTCTTTTCAGTCTCAGTTGCTGTAGCAGCTGGAGTCTGCACACTCTCCCTCTCCTCCACTGTCTCTCTCGTTTTACGTTTTTTGATGGGCAGGGCTGTTTCCTGGACGACAGGTTTGGTGGAAGACTCCTTGGCTGCTCTTCGTTTGGCCTCGGCAGCTAAGATGGCAGCTGCTGCATAGCTACCGGCTGCTGAGCTACCCGAGGTTGAGGCTGAGGAAGTGGATGCTGCGGCAGCTGATGTTGCTGCTGAAGCTGAGGCTGGTTTCCTGCCCCGTTTCTTGGGGGCCGTCTGTGTTGGGGGCACAATTTCCTGTTCTGATTTCCTCTTTCTCCCAGGACGGGACTTGGGCACCAGAGCAGGAGACATCACCTGCAGGAGAATAGCCACAACAACAACTAGCATCAGTGTCAACATTGCATTTTAAAAAAGTAACAATAATAAAACACCGTACTATGTATGGTTCTAACACCAGGCTGTTGTGCATCAGTTGCACTACCTGTACTTTCTGTATACATAAAACTGTAGCAAGGCTATGTCAGTGCACATATCCAGCTGCATCCCAAGGGTCTGCTCCAGCTAGCGCTTTCAGATTCTCACCATGATAATCACAAAAATAATCCACACCCCTGGAAAAGTCCACAGCACCTGACAAGACACCCACAGGCACAAACATATTGGTCCTCTCCAAGTCCACAAAGCACATACAGACCGGGCAAGCCAAAACCCTGTAACCCCTCCAGTATCCTTGCAAGAATAAACTGCTGGTAGAATCGGGAGTTTCTAAAAGTCTTTTCCACCGTTCAACCCTATCCCAGTCAAGAATACAGTCTAGGTCCCCACTCCCAGGTTTTTGCATCTGTAACCACAGAAAGTACAGTCCTACCTTGTGCTCAGTTCCCTTGGCTAATGAACCCCTGCAGGCCTTTCCCCTCAGCTTCTCTGTGGTGGTCACCAGCGGGGCCTTGGGTTGCCACTACAACAACCACAACTCTAAACAGGCACCTGAAGACTTTGAACAAGACTTCCATGAATTCCATGTCCACATCCTTCCATGGGATGCTCAGAGAGTCCTTCTAGAGGTGGAAGTTGAAGACCTCGCACATATTCACCTCAGCCACATTTTCCCAGGTAACACTTACTGCAAGTTTAGATTTACTGGGTCTGTCTGCCAGCTGGCAACTCTGCCCCTGCTCTTTTCCTACCCGGGATGATTAATAGGGGTCTGTAAATGTAGCCTGGTTCACCCATACTCCAATGCCAGGAGCTGTTGCCCCCAGTAATGCAGTTCTAAGCGTCACAGAAAAACAGTCCTTCCACCACCACAATGCTGGAACCTCTTCCTGAGATGAGCGCTTACAGATGTGACTAGAACATTTTTTGACATTAGTGGGTGTTACTGTGAGTGCCACAAGTCAGTCAGGCAGTCAATCAGTTTTCATAGACATCAGCAACTTCTCACACTCAGACAAGTTCTCCAAGCATGGCTGATTGAAAGACCTGGGGGTAGTTGCTGGTGAAAATTATGCAATGCTCAGGTTATTGCTGGGATCCTTACCTAGCCTGCGTGTCTCCAGAATTCATTGGTATCAGACTGATCATACCTTTGAGGCAGCGGAGGTGGTGCCAGTGGAGGACTCGGCCTTGCTGAAGGGCATCTTAACCAGCAGTTTGCCTGGACTTTTCTCAACCACACGCTTCATGGCCACGCCCTCTGTAGCCTGTCGCATTTTTCCACTGCCTGCACAAACACAGAAAAGATAAACATGTACACAAAAAACTAGAGGGAAAAGAAATATCTCATTAACTCCACTAACTACTGAGTTCAATTTAATGACTTCAGTAGAATTTTAGTAAGTGCCCGGAGTACCTTTGGGTCGTCCACGGCCTCGCCCCGATGGTTTCACCACCTTCGGTTTCTTGGGAGGACGCTTCTCACGGCGTGAGGGGCTTCCACGTCCGGTGACAGTGAAATCAAAATCGTTAGGGTCAGTGGTCGTGTCACCAACCTTCTGGAAGTAGGCAATAAGTTCCACCTTGGATCGAAACGCCTTCCCCTCCGAGCTGAGCATGAAGAAAATTAGAAAAGAACAGCATGGATAAAACTGTGCTATTAGTCCACAAAGGAAACAACAGAGGTAGGTGTAGCTTACTTGATCAGGTAGACGTCAAATTTCCCCGCCGAGCGTCCAGACTTCCTCTGTTTGAGTTTTCGAGTCCACCCTTCAGGTAGCGACGGGTCGTCGTACAGTGGCCCACGGTCCCGGATGATGGAACGCCGCTGCCTGGGAGAACCTGCAGGCTCAATGCCAGCTGCTGATTCAGACCCTGGTGCTGACTCTGGCTCTGAGGGCAATATGAAACCAGCTTCTCATCTCAAATACACGTGACATATATCATATTGGATTACATAATATTGTTTGACAGGTGATCAAACTCCTGCTCTGGCTAACCTCTGACTGCTGCTGTAAGCAACACCTGTGTTTACCTGGGTCTGCGGCTCCGCCCCGGTCTGTAGCTGCTGCCCAGCTGTTGGGGGCATGGCCGAAGCTGTGGCCTCAGCCCCCCGCTCAGCATAGCGCCGTTCCCTACGGGCCTTCTTGGTCTTGCTGTGGGACCTGTCTCTCTCTCTGACAGTGGGCTGGGGGTCCACAGGTCCCTCTTCACCCTCCTGACCCTCCTCCCTTTGGAAAACAAATGACATCATGTCTCACTGTTGACATCACATGGTCATAGCTGCACTGTTTTGTCAGTCAGTCCTCCTTCCCGAAGTTAATCAGAAGGGTACAGCTTATGTTATAACTTTCCAAATCTGACAATGTAATGTCCACGCCCACCTCACTGGTTTGTGGAGGTGAGGTCGTAGGTGGGGTTTGAACGTCTCTTTTTTCTCATATTTCATGTGAATAGCTCAGGTCAACACTATGAATCTTCAGGTTATTTGTATCATTCACGATGTCGAGACAAGAAAGAGAGCTGCTGATCAGGGAGGCAGGGAGATGCAGCAGGACCTAGGTTTGTGGTCACATGAAGACTATGCTAGCACAAAGCAGATTGCAAAGGAAATTTTTAAGATATTTTGGAATGTCTTCCTTCATTTGACAGTGATGGCAGTGATACAGACAGATAAAGCAGTGAAAGAGCTGAAATGAACACGACTCAGCTCCTGAGATTTTTTAAGCCCTGGTACAAACATAGTTGAGAGAGAGAGAGATTAAACTTTATTGTCCTGTGGTTGGGAAATTTGTTCTGGGTTCCCATTCTGGGTTCTGAGATGCATAAAATATACATGTCCACTGTAAACTGTCACTGTCATTACTTCCTCCCATCACTGTGAGAACTCCCGTTGGGCATGCACTGTGTCATTCAGCACGTTTGGTGTCCAGTCTCATTTGAGCTTTGGCTTCAGTGCCTGGTGGAAACTATCACATTGCACCAGAGAGAGCACAGCAACTTGCTATGTGCAGTATTATTGGCTTGAATAGCGGATGATCCTGATTTTAAGACGACCCCTAGGGAAACACTGGGACACTCATCCTGTTGGGAAGACTTCCTGATCCCTTTAATCTATGAGGAAGAGGGTCCTCATCACTGAAGTCTTCCTTCTGGTGGAAGTGGAGCAGGAAATACAATAATACATAAAAGCCACATTAGTGTGTGGCAGACTCTGACTCTCTGTGACTGTTAGCATTTCTGTCTTTGTGTCTCATCACCTGTGGCAGCTGTAATTCCTACTGTGTATTTCTGCAGTCATTGGAGAGCTTGTGAATTTCTTTAGAACACGTTACAGCAGCTCAAACTGGACTAATCAAATTATTCTAGAGCTGACTGACTTACTGTAAACAGACTGAGAGCACTCGCTAACCTAGCAGCATTAAGGCTACAAACAACCCGCAACGCACCATTCTTTCTTCAAAGACCTTGTTACGCTGGCACTTGTTTGGCTGAATATAATGCAACCTCCACTGTCTCAAACCTAATTTATAGGGAAACAACTGCCTTGTATTGAGCTGACTATGGTAGTGTGTTTGAGGTGGAATGAGCCTTTCATTGTGAAGCAACTTCAGGCAATATGAAAATGAGACTGGAACAGATCTGTACAGTCTGAAACCAGAAGAAGCTCAGCAGGTGATCATAAACAGGAAGTGATGCTCACAACAACAAAAACAGACACAATTCCTCATCTCTGTTGTTTTGATGCTTTTATATTTCATTAATGAACAGAACTCCATCACTGCATTTAGAGTTCTCCTTCTTCAAAGGTTGTATGCTTCTAAAGAAAGTGACCACTTCTTCTTCTGGTTTCTAGTCAGCCTTCATTTATGCACATGTAGTGGCGTCTATGAAATTACTGGATGTGCATTCCAGGATAGGTTTGGTTTGGTGTACCATCACATAGTTACAGGCCTAGGCCAGGGCCCTCTGATGGTGCCGAGTTCCTCTCCTCTCCTCTCTCTCCATCCATCTATCTGCCACCACTACCCATTACTAACTTTGTGTCTCCTCTCTCCCGTAGTGTGTCCTCTCTCTCTCTCTGTACCTTTCTGCAGGTTGCCCTGGCCCTGGAGCTCTACGTCTCTGACGAGCAGTCACCAGCCACATCGACCTGATCAGTGTTTGATTGTTGTGTCTTGTTGCTTTTCTTCTTTTGTCTCTCCTCTATCCACTCACCCCAACCGGTCGAGGCAGAAGGCCGCCCACCAAGAGCCGGGGTCTGTCGGAGGTTTCTCCCGTTAAAGGGAGTTTTTCCTCCCCCCTGTCACCAAGTGCTTGCTCAAGGGGGATTTGTTGGGTTTTCCCTCTGTTAATACTGTAACCTTACTATGTAAAATGTCCTGAGATGAATGTTGTTGTGCATTGGTGCTATACAAATATAACTGAACTGAATTCTGTCCTTTACTTAGTAAAATTAATCCTGTTCCTTACTCAGCTGAGAAAGCTCTTGATTATAGAGCTACAACTCCAAATCAGAAAAAGTTGGGACGGTGTGTAAAACCAAAATTAAAACTGAAAACAGTGATGTGTAAATCTCCTGTGTTACACTGAAAACAACACAGCAGCACATTATTTGATGTGACACCTCATCAGTTTTATTCTTTGTTCACAATACTCACCAACATGTGTGAGATAATTATTGAAATGTTTTGGATCTGTTCCCCTCTACGATGCAGAGCATCATTAAAAGATTCAAGGAGTCTGGAGGGATTTCAGTGCGTAAAGGGCTGAGCCTAAGCTGGATGAATGAGCTCTCCGACCCCTCAGACGGCACCGCATCAAGAATCATCACTCTTCTATCAGCGATATAACCACATGGGCTCAGGATGACTTTGGCTCACCTGTGTCAGGCTCTACAATACGTAGTTACATCCATAAATGCTGCTTAAAACTGTTCTGTGTCAAAAGGAAGCTCTGTGTCAACAGTGTCCAGAAGTCGACTACTCTGGACTCAGAAGCGTCTGGGATGGACCATCACACAGTGGAAACGTGCACTCTGGTCAGACCAATCAGCGTTTCAGGTCTTTTTGGGAAGGAATGGACACCATGTGCTCCTGACCAAAGAGGAAAAGGACAATCCAGACTTTTACCAGCAACAAGTCCCAAAGCCAGGGTCTGTCATGGTCTGGCGTTGTAATCCTGCCCTTGGGAAAGGTCACTTACACTTCTGTGATGGCTCCATTGATGCTGAACAATACACAGAGATGTTGGAGCAACACATGCTGCCTTCAAGACAATGTCTTCTCCAGGGACGCCCATGCAGATTTCAACAAGTTAATGCAAACCTCACACTGCCACATTACCAAGGCCTGGCTGCGGAGGAAAAGGGTGTGAGTGCTGGACTGGCCTGCCTGCAGTCCCAACCTGTCCCCAGCAGAGAATGTGTGGCACATTTTGAAACACAAATTGTGTCAACGAAGACTCAGGACTGTTGTGCACATTAAGACTTGTTTGCAGTATGAATGGGACAAAATTCCATCTGACACACCAAGTCACTTGGAGTCCTCAGTCCCTAAACGTCTTTTAAGTGTTGTGAAAAGGAACAGCAGCATCACGCCGTGGTACACGCTTCACTGTCCCAACTTGTTTTTGGAATGTGTTGCAGCATCAGGATTGAAGTGAACAAAGAACAAAACTGATGAGGTGTCACATCTACTAATGTGCTGTTGTGTTGTTTTCAATGTGATACACGGCACAGGTGATTTACACATCGCTGTTTTCAGTTTTAATTTAGATTTTACATACTGTCCCAACTTTTTCTGATTTGGAGTTGTAACAGTTATGTTCATTACAAAGTAATCTCTCAGTTATTATTAATTCTAACTGACTTATGTTTTAATTTTCAAAACTTAAATTATCTCCGTCCAGTGTAATGTCTTCAAATATCTAGTTTTATCTGATAACACCCCAAATCCCAAAGGCATCCAGTTTAACACGTATTAGAATCTAAGATGAAAGACTAATCATCAGTGAGCACTGTTCATCATTAACTTTCTGTCAATAGATTGATTGTTTCAGCTCCACTCCCTAGTTCACACAGCTCAACACAAACATGAACAAGTCCTGAATTAGGACTGATGACACAAACGCACCGGCTGGTTATCAGACAGCTGGCACAAGAAACCCCCTTGACACATTTATCCATAAAGTGGAGCTACAGGTAAGTGAGCATTGTGTTTGAGTGCAAGTGCACATATCCGACGCGTTTAGAGCAGCCGCTGTGATGTTACACCAGAATGTGTTCCTGAGGGACCCCTGTTGGCCCCACTGAGCATGACGCTGTCATGATTTCCTCAGACACCAGGGAGCCAACCACCGCTGCGGAGCAACTGTTCTGTTAACTGAGCGGACGTTTAAGTCATTTTCTAAGTGAAAGTGCCAAAAGAAAATAACTGTCAGATGTATTGCTGATGAAAATAATAGCTGGTTAGTTCTTCTGGCTTCTCTGTCAGAAAGTAAGTGAAAAAATAATTTTATAAAACACAACTTCACAAGAACTGAACAACTATAAACTAAAAGAGTCCAGTTGCTCTACAGGAGCACGGAGGACCTGTCACAGCTGACACTGTACAGTGGAGAAAATTTCTAAAAAAAAATTCAGTATTTAATCAGACGAAATGACCCCAGTGATCTGGAATAACCCGGGGCCCGGTGTCATTCTCCCACAGCTGGGTCTAAAGTTAATGATCGGTGGGTCATTAATTAATCAAACCAAGAAACAGGAAAATATCAGTGTCTGCTCAGATGCCAACTAGTTCTCCCTGATGAAGGCGAAAGTAATGGTGATGATTCTGATTAACTACAAACTGAAGAATCACTGATGAAAACATTTCTCGTCTTATTGATTACATGGTG